ATGTTTTGTTCAATATTTTTTAATTAAGGAAATCGCAACCCTGCTTTGAATTTAAATAATAGACAATGATAATTATGCAGTCAGTTGAAAAGCGCATAAGCTAATGAAATTCAAATTGCATTTGAAAAATATATTTTTGARGCGTACTTAATAACTACATAAAGATTTTTTAAATTTTTGTTTAAATTTGCATACAGGCGCTGCCAACGAACTTGTGGCCCTTATTATTTATCTTCGCCCTAATCAACCCTGTACGGTTGCAAATTATAAAGCTTTTTGCTATAATTATTATTTTTATAATTTTACTGCCAAATTAAGACACTTTAAACATTATTATACTAATAATAACAATTGTAATTTTTCGTTTTTAAAGTTGATAAACATATGTGTAAACATAAATCTCAAGTGCAATTCGTTATTTTGTACAACAAATTAATTACAAAAATAAAACAAAACTAATTGTATTTTAGGTTAAGGAAAATCTCAGAGTTATTTGTGTAATTGAAAAAGTAAATTTTTATAAGTCTAGAAGTCTATTAAAGATTTGGCTGTTCAATACTTAAAATTTCGCTAATTTGTCAATGTCTCGCACAATTTTGTAGCAGCTTAATTAAATAAAATTTGAATGCTCTAGCTGACGCAATTGTCGCTATGAATAAGATAGCTTAGTTCTGTGCATATGTATGTTTGCATGCATATGCACTTTCTTTTTTGCCAGGCTTATTATTTCAATTGAATCGTTTGTCTTTTTTAATATTTCTTTAAATTGTTTGTGTAATTCTATATGTCTACGTGTAGAATTCTGCGCATTTATTCTATGCCATGAGCAAAAATCATTACCAAACCCGGTTCCACCATGACGTCTTCAGACATATGAGCATTATCGCAGCTTAAAACCAACACAGCTTGTTTACCTACAATTTCATAGGATTGTGTAATTTTAGAAATCATTACTTTAAAACGCTTCTTCTTGTTTACCTGGTATACGTCGGCAGACGTAGTTATCATAGATGCGTCTATTATTCTGTCGCGTYTCTAGTGAACTCAAGCCGCGTGGCCAGCGTCTTTCGTGGCAATTCTCCATAAGATTATCCAGTATGTGTGGTGGACAGCCAGATTCGGACAATGCACGTTTTATCATCATCTATAAAAGTAAAGTAGAAATTCTCACAAAAAATCCGAAAAAATTCTCAAAAACAATCTTTATAAATTTTGTTAATCAATCTCATTACCTGTAGTGCATCATCCGGTGTTGAGATCATACCGCCCCAGCGTGTTACACGTGCCCGTGACAAAGTCGAACTCCAGCGTATCACCTCATCACGTTCCATCTGATCGGCAATCGCACGCATAGCTGGATTGGAGACGCGCATTGCGCGCATAAAGTCTTTAAATAGTTGCAACTCACGCTTCAACTCATTGATGACCAAATTTTGATCACCAATCTCTGTCTTAAGCTCTCCCATTTTCAATTGCTGTTGATGTATCATGGAACGCAATTCACGTAAGCAATTGTGATCCTTAAGCTCGTCCTTGGGTATAACAAAACCGCAGCCTTTTTCGCACGGCAATGGACGTTTTGGATTGTGTTCGCATTCTTCAAGATGCGAGTTCAGTGCATCCAGCTTGAGTACCAATGTGCAGCCATATGGCGCATTATCGCAGGTGATGGAAAGTCTAAAAAACAATGAAAAAATATTTTTTTTTTGTGAGATAGCAAATTTTACTTTTGGCAGTCTGCATATATATACCGTGAAAGCAGATTGCGAAGTATACGAGGCACGGCGCGCAAATTTGCGGTATTTAATGCGTTGCGGTCTACTGGGCAGGTGGGCTGACGGGTGAGCCATTCGTTAATGCACGCACGACAAAAAGCGTGTTCACACATTGCCGCCTAAGGAGAAACGCAAAGTGAAAGAGTTTAATGACGCTAATAGCAAAATACAAATTTTAAATGT